GAATGAATAATATTTATAAAACCATTTTGTAAACTAATATGCTTTATGTAAACTCACTAGTTATAATTTCTATATTTCATGTAAGAATCATGTCACCCCCCAAAAGGCAGAAAAGACAAAAATTAAAGTATGAAAATGCATAAAACTGAAAGGTAGCAAAACAAATGAAAAGGAAGGATGGGTAAAGAGTAAACCCCATGTCTTTTTCCCATCACTCCGTGCCTTTGCTGGACTGGAGCTAAAAATCTTTGTGGCAGCCCACACGGTGTAAAATTTCAAAGGCCCCCATCCATACTAGACTGTGCGTGACTCTTTCTCTGCATGACTCCCCTACTTGGATGGTCTAATGAACTGCTTCCCCAGTGGCGGAATCAACACATCCTGCAGTGCCAAAGGGCCCTCAAAACAGCCTCCATCCCCTCAGTTCCCTCTCCCTGATATGAATTTATTGCTGAAGCCACATGGCTGATATAAACATGCTGAAAATCCTTCATGGGTTTCTGGGTTCTTTAGTGAGCCTACCTGTACAAGAAATAAAGATTAAACGCAGTTAAGTGTTGACCCAGAAAAATATTATACATTAAATCACACAGCTTGTTCATAGTTAGGAGAAAAAATCCCAAGTACTTATGTAACAGTAGTAATTCTTCAGTTCAACACACATTATAAACACAGCATTAATGGATATGGAGATTCTAAAGTAAATCAAGGTTGTTTTGAGTTAGTGAAGATAAGAATATGCAATCATGAAAAACTGACACAATTTCAAAGGATATGGTAGGCACTAAATAAATAAATCAATGATGTCAGCCTTTAAACATGAGAGTGACTGCAAATACACTTTTGTACTTATGTGTTGTGGGGGGTTGGATTTTACTAAAGACTACAATTTAGTAACCTTAGTCTGAGTAGTCTTCTTGTAAGTGCAGAACTTGAAAAAATATAAGACTTAAAATGGCAAACCTTTCCCTCCCCTTCCCTTTCTTTCCTTTTCTTCTCTTTCTTCTTTCCACAAATAAAGCTCTTATTATATGTCAGATGAATGCAGTGGACTGAATGTTTATGGTCCTGCCAAAGGCATGTGTTGTAATCCCAATCCTCAGTGTGATGGTATTAGAAGGTGGGGGGTCTTTGGGAGGTGATTAGGCCATGAGGGCCGAGCCTTCATGAATGGGAGCAATGCCCTTCTATGTAAGAGACCCCATAGAGACCCATTGCTGCTTCCACCATGAAAGGTTACAGCAAAAGTATGACTGTTTAGGTGGCAGGTTTTTACGGGACACCAAATGTGCTGCCACCATGATCCTGGACTTCCCAAACTCCAGAACAACAAGAAATAATTGTTTTTATAAGCCATGGGTCTCTGGAACTTTGCTGTGCCAGCCTGGAAAGGCTAAGACAAGTGACAATTAAAAAATAACTATTGGGCCCTGGCCACACGGCTCAGTTGGTGAGAATGTCACTCTGTGCACAGAAAGGTGCCTGTTTTTTTTGTTGGTCGGGTGCACACTGAGGTTGCTGTTGGTCCTTGGTCAGGGCACATATTAGAGGCAACTGATTGATGCTTCTCTCTCTCTCTTTCTTCCTTCCTCTCTCTTAAATCAATGGAAACATGTCCTTGGGTAAGGAAAAATGACTATTGGCATCATCAGATAAAAAAACCTCAAAAACAGCTATTAGAACTATGTATGGATGGAATGTGGAGCTAGTTGGGGTAGCAAGAAACACCAATAGCTTTGATTGGCATCTTTGTCTATGACAGAGTACAATAATTGATGTTTTATATAAATGCTACAAAGTAAGAAAAAAGGAAATATAATATTCCCTTTTGCTATATTTTTCTTTTAAAGGGCATGAAAATAGAATATATTTAAGTGCCCATTACAATATTAAAATAAAATCAAGGCATGGCTCTAAAAAGAATAAGCTGCAGTTTTGGGGAAATTTTTGTATATGGGGACACCTTATATTTTCTGACAATATCAGCTACATGAAGCCGAAGTGGAGTTCATAGCTGCTAAGTGGCCAACACCTTGCTTGCTCTGTTTATGTTTAAAGTAGGATGGAACAAGATTTGCAGTCTTGGGATAGAGGCTAAAGGAATATATAAGAAATTGTTATAGAATAACATAAAACTTCACAAAATTAAATACCAGGAGAGGAAAAAAGGGAATGATTCCTTTTCTTTGGAGAATCTGAGTGTGGCTTCCTAAAGAGGTGGAGGGTGAATCCAATTTGGATAAAAGGAGGGAAGGCAGGAAAACTTTTCAGGAAAGTAGGAGGAGCCACAGAAACTCTGGCAGAGGGTGGCCTGAATTGCAATCTTTAGGAGCTGTGGAAATAGGGTCAGGTAGGAATTATAGAGTAAAATTAGAAAGGCCCAGTGGCCTATTTTCCTAATGTTTTATCTTCTTTAATCACAGTAATACTTAGCTTGAAGAGAAACTGCAGTTATTGCTGGTCCTATAGATATTTTTAATCTTTAATGATAGAAACTATTACTTAAAGAGAGAAAAGAAAAGCTGCCTTCCTTTAAGTCAGCTTGGTGACGTAATACCAAAATCTAAATCTCTCATTCCACACTTAGAGCTAACTTGAAATGTAATTTTCTCTCAATTACTAGAATTCTATAATCTTTTTTTCCTTTTGTTCATATACAATGTCATTTTAAGGGTTTTTTTTTTTAACATACAGCTCTCACGGTGTGACCACTGTAGAGGTTCTGGTGCCTTGCACCAGTTTCTCTACAGCTGCGTATGCTCTAAGTCATCATGATTGAAAGCCCGGGTTCTAGGCAAAACTGCCTGGGTTTGAAACCTGGCTCTGTCGTGTGTGTGTGTGTGTGTGTGTGTGTGTGTGTGTACCTGGATGACCTTGGGAAAATTGCTTAAACTCTGATTCTCTGTTTCCTTTTTAAATTAGGGATGGGGTGGCAATAACATCCATCTCAATAGGTTGTTGTGAGTATTAAATAAATCAATGCAGGTAAAGCACTTACAATAATGCCTGCTACGTAGTAAGTATCACCCAAGGTTACTGTTATCTCTAATAGGGAGAAAAATGTACACTTAACATTTAGTATAATTGTCCTTCCCATATAAACACATTAAAAATTTTAGATTATTTCAATTTTGTTTCATTTTAAGTGATTCTTAAAAGAAGAATTTAGCTTTAAATGGGCCTTAAACACCTTTGAACAGTCTCTTCTCTAATGTCATAAACCGTAATGTCTACTCTACAAGTATTTACTATGTGAATCAGTGGCATTTCAAAAGACTAAACAGATAAAAATAGTCAGATAGTTATTGTACTAGGTGCAGGTATGCTGGGTGTTTTGGGAACACAGAAGAAGTGGGTGTAAACCCAGTGTGGACAGGAATAAAAGTATGGAAGCTTCTTAGAGGGGGCAATGCACAGTTGAGTCCTGAAGGGTGCACAGGAGCTGGCCTGGTGAAGAAGAAGCTTAAAAAGTCTAGGTATTCCCCTTACAATATAGTATCTGTGGTCAAACTATGCAAAATAAAGCAATTAGTCAATGAGAATCATTTTGTGAATATTTATACCATAATGCATACATAGAATTTCACTTTGTATCACCTGTTATCTTGATATCTAATCATTTCAAATAGGTAGAGATGGAGATTAAAAAATATATGCCTTGTGAAAAATCTAATTGAAGGAAAAACAATAGCTATCTTCTACTGGGTAGCTATCATGTACTGGACTAGTAGTAAGGTCTTATTAAAAATTAATTTGTCTAAACCTCACCAGCAGAGAGTTCTATTACTGCCTCTGCTGATGAACTGAGTCAGTAGCAGAGGCAGGGTTTGCACTCATCACCGCCAGGTGCGTGGTGCTCTTCACGACTCCACAAAGTGAAGTTTGGAATTCATTCCTCACTAGAAATACTTTCCTGTTTTCTTTTATATAATTTGAAACAGTATTCAGGGAAATAATTTCACTAATAAAGTTAACTTAGATTTTCTTTCAGGGCCATTCGAAGCTTTTACAGGTCTTATAATTCATAAGTTTTCTTTCCATACTGCAAGGATGACCCTCTCACACAATTTCTTGCTGGTCAGCACTGTTCCTCAGCTGAAAGTGCTTTCACATCCACCTCTTCATTTGCTTTTTTCTCTAGTGGCTATAGAAATTGACTTTAATAATGCATATTACTTTCTATAGTCCCTTAAAAGAATGTTGCATACTTAAATCAGTAAGAGAGATTCCTGGTATGGGCTCAATTAAAAAACAACAAACAAAGAAAACTTCATTTGTTAATCATTAGAATAGTAGTCAATGTCTAAATGTATTATGCAAATCCAAAAATGTATAAGAATTCTGGTATTTATTAAACAATATGTTTCAAATAAGGTGGTAGAAAACTCAAGTATTTTCTTCCATTAAATCTGCTTCACTTTCAGGCTTCCTTCACAAAAGGCCTCGAGTGTGTGAAGGCCATTGAGCTATGTTATTGCCTCCCCTTTGACATTCACTGATGTGGAGATCAGGCAGTGCTTCTCCCTCTCTCTGTCTTCACTGCTCACCAATATGACCATCACCCTTTATCATTCTGGAGATTACTCCTTTTATGCTTTTTTTCCAAGTTCTTATCTTTACACATATCCCCACTTTTTGACAACAAAACACAATATCAGATACCATTATGTTTCCACTGTTTTCTAGTCACTTCTATATCCTTCCAAGACAGAGGAAATAGCCAGCCCTACCAGAAAATAAAACGGAGGTCATTGCAAAAGCAATGACTTCCAAACTGTTTGCTAAATTTAGCTGTCCAATAATTTCCACTCTAATGAAAACTGTGAACTACAATTATAGAATGCTGAAATAGAACAGGACCTTAAAGGTCATTGAGTCCAACCCTCATTTTTCTGATGAGCATATGGGGTCCTAGACATGGCCTGTGATTTGCTTAAGGCTACAGAGCTCGTTAATGGAAGAGATGGAACTTGAACTAAGATCTGCTCAGCCCGTGGCAATGCTGTCCTCACTGCACCACAAATGCTCACTCAGCCAGCTTTGATCAGTCTCACCTAACCAGGTATACCATGTTATTGGCTGTGGCTTCCCCTCTGCAGCCATTCATCTATTTGGTGGCTGAATATTAAAGAGCGAGGGTATCTGAATTATAAGTTGCTGCAAGAAAAATTAGATGATTGCATACTCAAACCCTGCCCCCAACTCTGAAAACTTCCAGCTTTGTGTTCATCAATAATGAATGGCCCATCCCTGCAATACTCAGAGGGAGCTTACATTGCACTTTTGAACAGCCAGCTAGTAATGTACAGTGGATAGAGCCTTTCTTTCAAATCCCAGGGCACAGGTCCTTCAAGGCTAGCATTGCATTTTCAATTAGCTGCTGAGTGAATGTTTGGCATGTGTATTAGTGAAGAGGCACACAATTAGTTTATTATTCTTTTCTGTATTGTGCTGAGAAGATCTGAGGGATTGGTGAGGAAGCAGTCAAGCCAGACATCACTGTGGATGTTGAAGAGGGAGTTACTCAGACCACAGACTTCTTCATTTGCTCACTCTGGATTACAGCTACTTAAGCGCTCTGTGTGGCTGGGTTGGGTGCGCCTGAGGAAACACATCGGAGACACCACTTGGGGTTAGTCTTCCCGAGCCCTTCGAGTCTCTAACTACTTCTCGCCATTACCATGGAGCCCAACAGTCCCAAAAAGATACAGTTTGCTGTGCCTTTATTCCAGAGTCAGATAGCACCCGAGGCGGCAGAGCAGGTAAGCAAATTGGGGTGGGGCCCAGTCATATAACGTAACATGGACATACATTCTTGTTATTAATTGGAAGGGTCTCATGGCTTTCCAGGATATGTGAATGAGAAATAAATTGGTTTCCACTTGCACCTGTATTTGAGTTGCACTGGGAGACTCTTGGTTAAAATGCAGCATTTCATGTGGTACAAAATTAGCTCCTGATAGAGAAAAATGGTTACACTAATGATCAGATTTGGATCCAAGCGTATGTTTGCTTTTGCTTATTAAAATAACTGGTTCAACATTTAAGGAAACTTTAAAAACTCTAAAAATTAGCAATATTTTATTTTATTATCTAATAAAAAGACTCAGTTAACAATGAAAGCATTAAATCTTGGAATTATTTCAGATTATAGACTTAATATTTATATGTTTTTCATTGTTTATACAGAAGAGTAATTATAGTACATGTAATGTATGATAAATAGGCTTATATGTACATGTATAATTCAAAACACATTTATTCAGATATTAAAAATAGTATTTCAGTTTTTCTTCGATTCCTTTGTCATGTATAATATGCCTACATGTCTGTATTTCTCTCTTTCTCTGTCTCTCTCATGTGTGATTGGTTTGCATTTGTATTACTTTTCATATTCAGATTTACATAGATTCTTGATGCAATGGAACCACTTAAAATGTCATTTGTACTAATATTGTAGCAATGGAGAGGCAAAAGCAAAGAAATTTACAGGGTCATCAAACTAATTCACTAGTTTCTTAAAACCTAAATTTTCCCTGAATTTTTTTCCAAACAGTACATACAAAGTTTTTAAAAAATTCTTAAATCTGATACTTATAACTTTCTAGGATGTTTTGATAATCTGAAGTAGGTTCATCCACACTGGAGCCAAATAAATACAACCTTGAACATGTATCTGTGTTGAATGAGGCATTAGTTCTATCTTGGGCAAAGTATCATTGGTAAATTTTGTCTACTATCTAACTGACATATATTTTAGGAATTTACTTATATATTTAAGGAATCAAGGACACATTAGAGATTCTGATTATAATATGTTTCTATAACTCTCAAATTAAGAGAAAAAACCCATCCCAAACCTATTACTTTTAAATAAATTTTATATTCTCATAAGATCCATATTTATTCTTTTTAAATTTTTTATTTTAATTGTTCAAGTACAGTTTTCTGTCTTTTATTCTTTATTTGTTGATTTATTCTAAATATTATACTGAAAAATGAGAAAAGCTTTTACTATTAATTAAAATAAAAAAATGCTGTTAAATTTAACCTGCTAGAAATTTGAATTTTCTAGGCCTCTCTCATTTAGAAATAAGGGTAATGGATCTTAAAAATGCCATCAATATTATAAGGCTCCAAAAGAGACATTAAAATGAGCAAGTCATCCCTATACCTTCAATGCATATTAATTTTAAATGGCAGCATTCAATTCTATACAATTCTTTTCTGTGGAAATGTAGCTTTTTGGTCAACATCGGTGATACTCATATATGACAGTTCTACTCTCTGATTTCCTACATTTCCAAACAAAATTAGTGAGCACCTACTGTGTGCTCTGCAGATACTGCTTCTGAGTGTTGGGAACAGTTGAAGATGAAAGAGCATTGCAAGCTGCAGGGTGACCTGGAGTGTTGTCTGACTCTCACTGACCTTAGCTGGTCCTTTGTTGTTTACAGATCAGGAAAAGAAGACCTACACCTGCATCACTGGTGATTCTCAATGAACATAACCCCCCAGGTAAAAGAGCATGTTGTGATTCGCACTGATGGAACAGAACAGAATTGTTAGGAGAACATCAAAGAGCATACCATTGACAAAAGATTTCAATTCTGGGTTTCAGTGAGCAATACAATTTAGTTAGTCTAACAAGTTAGTTCATACAATGGAACATAAATAAAACCAGAAATAAATAGTATAGGAACTGTCTCAGCTCATAGCCTGCTTTTTCTCTAGAATGACACATTGGTGATGATATGCTATGAAATGTTTTGTGAGTAATCACTGGCATGTGTTCAGGTGTTTGTAGAGAATTAAGTTCAGTGCTTACTAATGAGGCTGGTGGGAAGTTGTTTAATTAGGTTTCAAATTCACATTACAGCTCTTGAGATGCTTATATCTTTACAGAATAGGATTTTTTTTAATTTATGAAAGGTTGTCATGGTGTGGGCAGTGAGCCAGCATTGGCTATACTTTGCTGCTGATGTCATCTCTGAATAATTCAATTGTCGAGTAACCAGATCAATTTTCATCACTGTCCATTTGAGAGCCATTCTGAAGGACTGCATCCATTTGTTGAGGTTTTATTTTCCATTTCCCATAAAAAGTAAACTTGATTCTTATTCCTGATAAAGGACTATGATCTGCAATATGCAATTATTTACTTACTGAATGGAGCTGATTTTAATCTCACATTTAAGTGCTGTTTCTAGATACAAATAAAGGGAGACAGCAAAGGTCATGGCATTAATCTGTAACCAGGCAGGACTTGGTGTTGGATTTTTCTGGGTATAAACAATAAGGGTGGAAAAAAGAAGTTTGAATAATGGAAACATAAGTCTAAGTATAGGTTGTAGTAATTGATCCATCAAGGCAAAAATCATCTGATTTTTTCAGATTCCCTTTTTATTAGAGAAACATACAGAAGGAAAAAAGTGAAATTCTAATAGAATTTTTATCATTAAGCCAAAATATAAGAAGATGTTCAGGTGATAAAAAAACAAATAAGCAAATTTATTCCTGCTGAACATAAAGAATTATAATTTGATCCTCTATCTTTAAAGTGCTATAACATTTAAAAATTATTTTCAAATATACTGTCTCCCTTAAAATGTTAACTTATATTTGGATGAATAAGACATGCAAATGGTATGTACTCACATTTTACAAATAAATACAAGTAAGTAAACATGCTAATGAAATCTTAGATAGAAGGTAATTTTGGAGCAATTTTTCTTCAGTGCCTCTGCTCATAGTGGCAGACTTCCCCATAACGTCCTAGAACTCACCTCCATATGCCAGCTCTGAAAAGGACTGGCCGACTTGGTTTCTAGATGTCCTCTGACTCCTAAAGGGCAGCTTCCCGGATTCTGCAGGCCTTGTCACTGTGTGAGCAAAGCAGAGCCCTGTAACCTTTGTGACTTTCCTTTGAGCTCCCAAAATAGTAACAAGCTTCTTGAATGCCAAATCTTTGCCATTTACAGATGAGGCAAGTATCAGAGCAGTGAAGTGATTTTTGCAGAAGTTTTTCCAGGAGAAGTTACAGATTGCACAGATAATTGTTTCTAGAGCCCATGTATTTCCTATGGCATGATTCTGGCCCTGCAAATTTCAGTTTGCATTTCATAGTGAAGGCTCTGTAGATGTAAGCAAACATTCAGGTCCTATTGACAAATAAACCCAACTGTTAAATAAGTTCTTTTTCTAGACCACTTAGCTTAGTAGATTAGGAATTATATTTTCATATCCTTGTGAATAAAATTTAGGTTTTCTCTGGACATGTATCCTAACCAGACCTCCTAATCGCTAGATGGCGTTGCACTATTTCCCTTACTGGCTGTCATTTTCTTTTCTTCTAAGTAAGCACTTTTGGAGAGAACTCAGATGCAGATGGCATCTCACAGAGAACTGCGTGGTTTTAGTGGTGTCATCTCTCTGTATCTTCATCCTTTTTATAGAAATTAGGTGAGATTACAAGAGAATGATCAGCCTTTGACTGTGTATGGCAATGTGTATGACAACCAGGGATTTTTTGACTAGTGATGGGTTGTTGCAGCAAAAAAAACTAAATGCTTATACAGTTGCGTTAAATAAAAATGATCTGGAACTATGCTTACTGAGCAAATAAATCTAAGGACCCAACAAACAAACAAATAGCAACAGAAGAATACTATACCAAACCCAACCAACCCTGGATACTGGTCTTTATTAGCCGTGTGTTCTTAAGTAAAGAACAACATCACCAAGCTTGATTTTTCACATCTATAAAATAGGGATTGTGAAGCCCATCCTTTTTACTTCACAGGGTTGTTGTAATTATTGAAAGAATTAATGTAAACACTCTTTAAAAACTGCAAAGTGCAACAAATGATAGGTGTCACTAGCTTATATGTTCTGGAATACAAACTTTGCACATGATATTTAAGATTTAAGAAATAAAAAGTAGAACAGATTCTTCATAATTTCATTTGAACTGAATATTTCTGCCCTACCCACCAATTGTTTATGTTTCAAATATTATCTGAACACTCGCTATCAAATAAAACAAGATAAATAACAACAACAACAACAAACTTCATTAAGTGTTAAATGGCTTTTTTGAGGCCATTGCTTCTTCTAGCTCTCGAAGCAATGTGTTCTTTCAGAAATAAAAATTGTTTGCAGCTTTAAATCTTGACAAACTAAATAAAACTCTTTGATTTATTGAAATTGCCCAGGAAACAAGTGAGTGTTCTTGAAATTACCTGTCATTAGTGTTCTTTAAAATCCCTGAAAAAAACCTTTCATTATTGTTGATTAATGAAGCAAAGACAATTAAATTTCCCACATAGAGACATAATTAACAAAGACTTTAAATTCATTTGATTAGATTGGTGTATTGCAATTTTTGTTAAATGAATTAGACATAGCTAATTTTTTAACCTTTTCAAGAGTTTGCAGAAGTAGTCAGTTATAAAACAATATTTGAAATGATGGTTTAATTTTAAATTTATAAATACATATGTATTCTGTTTATATTTGATAGAGGAGATATAGAACAGAAAAATATATCTACATGTAAGTCTAGATTATTTGTTTGCTAGTTCACCTATGTTTGTCTAAACACACATATGAGGCAGGCACCTGATTGGTCAGATTCCAGGGGCAACTAAATGCCCCATCAATCCCTTTCTGACCAGTGGCCTAGAATTCTCAGCAATAGAAGCACGACAGAAACAGATATGTAACCTGTTAAAGATATCTCACCCGCTGTCATAGATTAAGCAGTTTAACTCAGAATAATGGAAAACAGAACTAACATTTTTCAATTGAAGACATCATACCTACAAAAATTTAATAGCAAAGGGTGTGTGTTTAGGGTGGAGAAGGGGAAGAACTATGTGTTTGCTCCTAGGAATGACTCTGAACAGCCAGAGGCAGTAAAAAGACACTGGAAACTTGAGATGTGAGGGGTAGAGAAGCACAAAAGGAAAGTTTCATCTTTTTAAAATGTGTTCTGGGGTTAACAGCGTAAATGACCTTGCAGAAAACTGCCTTTTCTCCTGTATTTTCTGTTCATCTTTTGTTAAGGGCCTATTTATGATACACTCTCTGAGGCTATACAGTAGAACCTCACAGTCTATTCTCGTAATGTGGGCTCTTTGCTTAAACTCTTGGATAATCTGCAGTTAACTAGTTTGGTTTTTATGTGTTTTTTTTATTTAAAGAAATGACTATACATAAATCTTCTCTATTTAGAAATAAGTGGCAGTGCCATTTTCTGTAATTTGTGTCATCACATTTCTAGATTTACTTAATTAAACATGCTTGAATTTAAGTAGACTTATGAGGAACTATGTATTTGATTACCAGTATTAGAAATCTAGAATTGGAGAACTCTAGAAAATACCTAATCTAGCCACACATCTTCATGAAAGATAAGTAAATCAACCCAAGTCCCAGAAACTCATTTGATTTTATGTCTCAGAAAAGAATCCATAGTTACCCCTACTTTTCAATTCCAGGTACAATAATTTCAGGTGTTAGAAAACACAGTTTCTTACACTAAACTTGAGTAATGTCATACTTTATTCTAAGGTAACTACTCTCTTTAATAAAGATTTATTTACTCACTTTTAAAATACATAACAGTAGTCTTTATCATTTGCTTTTCTGGATGAATATTTCCAGGCCCCTATAAGGTAATAATGAACTGTATCCAAATTCTCCTGGTCTGTCAGCCTTCGGAGCCCAGAGCTGGACTCAATCTTCCAGGAAAAAGCCAGCCTAGACCAGGCCTTCTGAGTGTTCAGGTTTGTGGCATCTGTTCTTTTCCACTCACAGTTAAGCAGAGACAATGTGGTTACAATTACATTTAATGGACCTGATGCCTGTTAAACATGAGTGAACCAAAAAAGGTCTGGAGCTTAGTGAAATTTGGGTAAGTACTCAGGAGTTTTGGCATTACTTAAAATCTTGTTGTACATATAAAAATTGGAACCAGAAATACAATGTAAAATGGCTGGGGACAATATTTATTGAACTTTCTATCACAGTCCAAATTTGGGGAGATTGACTTTCTCTTGGATTGTTTTAGCTCCAAATAATCTTAGAAATGAGGCATAAAAACAAAAGCCTTTTCTTACATGGATCAGGATCCTAAAATTAGTTAATATGAGACATACGAATTAAATATCTCACTAGCTCCCTTCAACCTTGATAGTAAGTCTAGTCAGTAGAAAGAAGTGGGCTTTCCAATGGATAGTGCTAGTCAGCTCTACAGACTGAAAAAGAATCCACGGTCAACTCTGGAGGGAGCATATGACTTTCTCCATGAAGCTGGCAGCTTAGAACTCTGGCACTGGGTTAACTAATGAGGCTTTGAAGGCTCTACATTTATAATCCTGAGACATCAGATGATAGCAAGAGAATATTGCTGGACTCAGACTGAGTTATTCACGACAGAGAGGCTCCAGGAAATCCTGATGATGGGAAGTTTTTCAGGGGCAACAAAGTTAAAGTGGAAACTCCTTTCCAGGATG